ACGTGATCGTGTACGTATTTCTTGGATCGGCGCGTCGTGATCGCACACGTAGAGTAGCTCTTGCAGACGGTCGTCGTGTCCTGAGGCCAGGAGCCGAAGACCCCCGGCCAGCCCTCTAGCGGGGGGAGTGTCTCCCACGCATACTCGGTAGCCTGTCACTGTGCAAGGCGGACTTCCTGCATGAAGCTAAAGCAGTCACGGCCTCGGCCCCGGCTAGACAGGGAGGTAGTGTCGTGTACATATTCGATGTGTGTAAGGTCGTCAGAAACATCGCGACCCCGGTTGCGGCCTTGATGCGAGAGCGTCTGGTGGGTAACGGAATACCCCCGGATATGACGCAAATGACTGCAAAGGCGTGGTTCGGCGCGTTCTTCCAAGATGAGGCGAGCTTGGCTTTCAACACGTATATGAAAGACTGTCCGTGATGTGTGATTGGCACGTGTGTTTCAGTTGCGTGTTATGTGAGAGTCGGTATTCGAGTCATCTGACCGTTTGCTTCTGCTGAGGCCCCAGCGCGGACTCAACAGGACGACCGGCCCTCAATCAATGAGATGGTGGGGCTTCGCGCGTGTGAAGGTGTACGTATGTACGCGTGTATGCGTGCGCTTGCGTGTGTGTGTGTGTGTGTGCGTTCCTCTGTGCACGTGAATGCACGCGGGTGGATGTGCATGTGTGCCTGTCTGTGCGCGTCTGTCCGTTTGGTGTGTGCGAGTGCGCGTGTGTGTGTGTGTGCGTGTGTGTGTGTGTCTGTGTGTGTGTGTGTGTCTGTGTGTATATGTGTGCGTGTGTGTCTGTGTGTGTGTGTGGGTGTGTGTGTGTGTGTGTGCCTTTGCGTACGTGGATAAGGCAACCTTCATGAGGCGCTGCTCGCGCAAGGGTCGGCAACTCGTTGCGAGTCGGTACGTCCTGAGTCCGAGAATTCTCAGATGAGGCCTCGTCAAGAAGGCGGGGGCTCACGCTCCATACGAATGAAAGCGCTCTCAGCTCTGGGGAGTGTGCTACGGGTATGTGATCGGAGTGTGTCCGGAGGACGGGACTTGTGTCAGCCTTGGCCGCATCGTTTGGGCGACGTAGCCCAACTTGCTGGGGCTGTTGTGGTTTCGGGTCCCCATGGGAAGCTGAACGCCCAGGCAAGTGAAGCTTCAGAATATTCTTTATCATGGTAGAGGCAGCACCGGTACTTTTGCTTTACCTATTTCTGTATTAATTCCAAAATTAGTATCTTGTTCGCTAGCAGCACTCTCTTGAAGATAATGAGTGAGTGCTACACCGAGACGACACGGGTTCAAGTAAACTGAAACTGACGTGTTTGGTTGGGATTCGGGTGCAGAAGTACAGTAGAATTATGTTATGCCTGCAGCCGTGCCTTCGCCTGTACCTGTAAATGCGGCTACGTTGTATTCACAATTACATCCACCCATCTATATCTCTATCTGTTCGTGCGTTTTTATCTATTCCCATCCATATCTGTGTGTGCATGTCACCTTCAGGGAGCGCAAGTACCTCACTTGGGGTACGGCGTGCGTCCGGAGGACGGGATTTATGTCAACGTTGATTGCATTGTTCGGGCGACATAGCCCGACTTATCTGGGACTGTTCTGATTCGAGGTCCTGTATGGGAAGCCGAACACGCAGGCCATGCTGTTTCGCATTTGGGATATGTGCTCGAACATTGCTAGCACTACTGTGTTCTTCCTGTACAGGTCATCACCGCCCGCTGCCGCTTTTTCCGTTCGCGCAAGGCTGTTGTCTCGGTTGTGTGTTCGGGCGAACTTGTCTGTGTTGTCCGTTTCGTGGTTGATGTTTGGGAGGGGTTCCTGTCCTGAGGAGATGAATACCGCTAAGCGCGCGGAAAACGGCAATATCGCGAGGAACTTAGCTGTTAAGCAGGACTAAAACATAGACGAGGAGTAGTAGTCATCAGGACAGTCTTGGAATGTAGTTTGATGTTTGGGCCCAATGTTGTCTTGAGGACTCCCATGGCGGTGCGCCGTCATGGATGTTGTGTTGGACTCATTTGGTGGGCGGGACCTTGTCTTCAGTGCACAGACTTGATTGTTGAGGCCCAGGCCCGAGACAGCGGGCGTGGAGGCAGAGCGATCGGGTGTGTTGATTCATCGCCGCCGCGCTTGGTCTAGTTGCTGTTTTGCAAGTTGTTGGCGTGTACATGCNNTATATATATATATATTGTATATACGAAGAGCTGCCTGACATTTGGGTTCAGGTTCCGAGCCGGCCGACCGGCGCCGACCACGGGCAGACGATGCGCGAGGCTCAGGTTCTGCCACCCCTCACGTTTTTGTACCGTGTGGGCGAATTTGGAGCGATGAGTGCTGCGTTCGTTTGCTGTTATTGGATTCTGTAGTATCGTCAGGGTGACTCCTTGAAGTGCGCCTGACACGTACATTTAGCATATTCTGTAGCTAAAACGTGTCCGCATCGTTGTGTGGTGCGCGGTTTGGATTCCTATAGGCGCGATCGTATCAGCCTGCCCTCCCCTGCATTATCGATCGCGGTTGTTTCAGCCATTTGCTCCAATACTTCAGGACCAGTCACCGAAAGCGTCCTTGCCACGACCACGGAGCCGTCTGCTTGGAGTGTGGCTTGCACGGTGGTGTCGCATGGCGCCCTGGCATGTACCGTCAAATTGCGTTCGTTCTGGCATCCCAGGTTGGGAGTGGCCCTGCCGGATCTCAGGCTGGGAATCGGGTAGCCGACCGTGTCAGCGCATCCGCTGCCACGGTGTTCGTGCTACTAGCACGTATGCTCTCACCCCCCTGCATCTGACGCCGCTCATGTCGGCCTGGCCGCAGATATGACTTCGAGTTAGTGTCCTATTCTCTTCTCATACCGAAACAGTGTCACCTTCTGCCAATGCCGAGAACGGATGGACATATGATGGAATGATTTTCAGGGACGCTTTTCCTTCCACCCCAGACAAGCGATCGGTGCAACACCGTGATCGATACAACGCAGAATAATCGCCACGGATGCCCTGCCGGGTCCGTCGCTCATGCTGACGTTACTACTGTAGTTCATGCTCTTACTGCTGCCCGTTCTTGGCAAGGACCCCCTGATTATCGACTGGCCTGCGGCGCTTCAGGCGGGTGTGCTTTCGGTCGCCCGGCTGGCACGGACTGATTGTTCGGATGTTGGCAGGACAATCCGCAGACCATGCCTCTGCCTGATGTGGAGGTGTGACTTCGCGGAATAGGTTGACCGTGGTCGTGCGCTCCTCTCAGGATCTCGGAGACGCGGAAACTCCGCGAAATGAGATGGGCAGGACAGTATTATCGCCGCATCTGGCGTGTCGTCGTCCCGTGTGACTTGTTGTACTTCGTTTTGCCTGGCAGACGTATCAAACTTGCGCGGCGTGGAGCACGACCCAAGGCAAGACAGGTGTGACAGGCAACGCTGTCTCCTTGCTCGGGGTGCGGCTGGTTTGTGCAGGCGAACCCCATGGGACCCCGCAGCTCTGCTTCCGGCTCCCGAAGAGTTGAGGCACACCGGAGTTTTCTGTGTGGACATTTCTTTGCGAATGAACATGACTGCTCTGTAGGCCTGTGGACGTGCTGCGAACGGCCAACATGATGCTGTTCCCGAGGCTCTGATTCGTAAGTAGCGGTCGTACAGTCGTCATTCGCCGTAGCGAGACGCGCGTTGCACCGCACTCGAGTCCCTAACTGGATGCTGTATGTGTTCCGGTGTGTTGGCAAAGTCGGTGTAAATCGGAGCTCGGATGCCTCTCAGAGCAGCTTCGGAAACGCAGTGACTCGGCTCTGCATGCGCCGAGGAGATCCTTTCCAGCGGCGAGGAGATGATGCATGAGGCCCCTCCTCCTATTACTGGAGTAGCTTCCTCGTTCTGCCGCACGGCATGGTACTGATATACCGCAGACACGGTAGTTGTGGTCTCGGATGAAATGTGTGATGTCTATTGCTCGTTATTGGGCTAGCTTTGGTCGATGTGCCTGCTCGCGCGGGTGCATTACGCAATTGGATGTATTTCGGTCCCAGTTTGTCGGCGGCCACTCCTATGCTTTAGTGTGATCCCCGGATCCCCACTGGTCGGTGTGATGCCATTGTCTTCGATTCGCTCTCTCCGTTAACGGTAACGAGTGCTCACCCGGCCACGGGGGCCGAGCATCTGGCCCAGGATGGCTTGCCCCTTCCCACCGTCTTCGCTGCACCTTAGATGAAGTTAAGGTGCGTTTGCATCGCAATTCGAGCCATGAGTTGTTATCATTTGTACCCGAGCTAGGGAAAGCAGCAGGATGCCTATTACTGTACCTCCGTTCTGCCGGTCTTTTCAGGCTCCGGCAGTAGCCCGGGAAGCCGACGCAACCTCGGACCACAGTGCCACAGAGGAGGTTGACTCAGTCCAGACCTCAGCTGCATGCCTTGTGTATGGGAGGGAGGGGGCATTTGTCGCCCTCATGACAGTGACGACGCGGCTGTCTCCGTCGGCACTACAGCTGCTTCAGCCTAGCATGGTTGTGCTGACCGGCATTCCGAGGATGACATGCCTCTGGCGTGCTACATATCTGCGTCTTGGATGGTCTTAGTGGACAAGTTCATGGGACATGCAGCTATATTCCTGCCCAGTCGGGGTGAATTCCTGTGTGCGTGCGATCATCATTAGGAGATGGAGACCGGAACACCGGCAGTTGCTCGCGGCCAGAAGCGGGTCCGGCGGCAGGTCGCAATGGCATGTGTTACCTGTCGTGCGAACAGCAGTGTGCGCTGTGTCCGAGCTTATCCGCATCGGAATCATTTTCAAACTCTGATCTGGTGCCACATCTGCTCTCTGTTATCTCGACGTTGATGCAGGTGTGGAACACCCGGAGCCTTGTCAAACCACCTCTCCTAGAGCCGGCAATCCTTCCTATGTTTCGAGGTTACTACATAGTCGCATGTATGAATGTGTCGTGTGTGTGCACCTAGGCTCTCGTGATCACGGCTCGAATCCATTTTCCTGCCTCGGTTGAAGCTTACTCGGAGGCGGATACAACGGGCGATGGGACGAGAGGGCATCCTGGCGTATCATAAGAAACAGAAGCAGCTGAACCGGGTGCTCGTGAATGCCTCGACCTTTCTGCCACGAAGGCCACTGATCCGGCTATTGCCGGAGTTCTTCGCGGCTCTGACCAGTAGCCCCATCCAACGGCAGAGAGCCGGCCCTAGCGATGAAGAGGTCAGCGCCGGACTGGCCTCTTTGCCGCACGATGCACTGCAGCATCTTCTGCGCGGCTGGATGCCGGAGCTTCGCGGCAAGGCAGACGCTTGGCGATGTTACGCGTAGTAGAGAGTTTAGGGGTGTCAACACTGTACGTTAGAACGATTTTGTCGTTGCGCGCCCGCTGCGAAGCCCAGGCGGCTCGCCGAAGCGCCAGAATGTTTCGGCGACTATCGGCCGACCGACAGAAGGCGGTCCTGGCGATGTCGCCGATATACGTGGTCAAGGCCCCGACACTTGTTTCACCATGTCGTGCTTGGTGGCCGGTCCTGCTGTTCAGTTTGCGTAGCCGCACAGGACATGCTATTCCCGGGGATTGATACAGCGCTGCCGTCACGTGATCAGGCCCGGTCGCGAAGGGAACGGGTTTTGAGTACAATTCCTGGGTTAGGTTGGACCGGAGTATGGAAGCC